GTCGACGCGAGTGACTCAGTTTCGTGGCTCCAAAAATATAAACATTTGATTGGTTGAAATTGTTTATTTCGGTCCGCCCATTTATCCAAATACGGTATATAAGATTACGTCATTCTTTTGGCATCCTGGTGCCTGATTTCAGTGTTTTACAAGTCGCTTATTCCGTCTATCTCTAAATTAACTTTCTCGTTGGTGGCGCTGTCCAGAATGAGAAAAATAATAACAAATAAGAGACTTGTGGCAAGTCTACTCATATAGCTATTATTCTTATTATATCTCTATGGAAGTTTCTCAACATAAACAGACGCTGGTGGCGCTTTCCGAAATGTGGTTATTGGTTATACGTACTGGCTGACTACGACAATAGAGACTTGTTGGCTGAAGACCAGTTATGGTTTTTTTTATGAGACAAGAAGACGTACAAGCAGTAAAGATTCTTGCATAATATTCCAGTACAGTATATTATGTATCAGTAGCGTGCCTAATGGGTTTGAAGTTTATGGGGCTCTAGTAGGCAAAATGTTAAGGTAATGTGTGTGTATTTTGTTGTCAAGAAATTTGAGTGGGTGGAATGCTGGGGCTGCGCTGAGACCCTCCCGTATCCTGATTTATGCCACTGACCAGTAAGTAAGGGAAATTAAAATAACATATTGCATTGGGCCAGAATTTATGCTTACAGGATGGTCGTTTTGGGTGTATATTACTCCCTGGTAAAACACTAGCAGCTGAAAAACAGTAAAGGAAAATTTATTTTTGGTTTTTCTGAATCCGTATAAGTCTAGGCCTAGACTAGGCCTCCGCCTAGGCCTACGTGTCTAAAAAGAAATCCCCATTCCTACGGCTTGGAATTTTTTTTTATAGCACTGGAAATTTTCATTAAAAAAATTCTAAAAAAAATTGTCAAAACAAAGGCACTAGGTGAGTTAACGTTCCAGTAATAGGTGAGTTTTAAGATTTTTTTTAAAAAGAAAGCAAATTATACGAATCGCGAGCAAATAGCGGCAAGGAATTCCATAAGAAGGGAGTCTTGAAAAGAAAAAGCACCATAAGTTTTTGATTTGCAATGACGTATGTACGAGTTTGGTAGATAGCTATTTTCGTTCCATTTGGGTTTATTGTGGTAATTCATTAATTATAAATGTTACTTTCTGTATGTATAATATTGTTTTTGGAAATTACATTTGTACTCTTATTATAACAGTAAAATTATTTTCACATTAAAAAATAGACCTACTTTTTCCGCCACAATGGACGCCATCTTTGAATTTTTCCTGATGACGTCAATCGAATACATAACTATTTAGCCATGTTTTGTTACATTTAGTATATATTTGAAAGTGACTAAAACAATTATTTCCCCAATTAAAATCTTAATTGGTCCAAATTAGGGTATTTTGGGCCATCATTATTAGGCCTATATATTGTAATTATTATTTTTTTATTAGGGCCTATTTATTTCTTCCATAGAATAATTATATAAATACATATCAAACTATACTTAATACAAACATTTTTTATTGTTACTGTAGCTTACCAGTATTAAATTTATTCTCCAATTTAAGACCACTTTTGGGACCGTGGTTTCGGTGGTCTTTAACAGCTTTGGTTTCTAATTGGAATCCCAATAATTAAAGAATGGCACTTCCATTGGGTTTATTGTGGTAATTCATTAATTATATAGGATGTATTTTATTCCTCTGTGTATAATATTGTTTTGAGATTACATTTGTACTTTTATTATAACAATAAAATTATACTTACATAAAGAAATACGCCTGCTTTTTCCGCCACAATGGACGTCATCTTTGAATTTGTCGTGATGATGTCATCATTTCTATCCAATACATAACTATTTAGCCATGTTTATTTACCTAAAAATGATTTACAGTAACAAATTTATATCAGTAATTTTCAATGCAAAATTCATTTATCGGTAAATATGAAATCAGTAGACCATATTTTTCATTTTTAATTTGCTCACTATTCAGCTTTCTATTGGATGCATGTAGCATGGAGTAACGACTAAAAAAATAGTGTGCATGCTATGATACAGATTGGAATCCTAAAAAGATATTTCCATGGTTGGGGTACAATTTGACCTACACCGAAGTTTGGCCTATACCGATGTTCACACTAAGGATTCATGGGAACCATTCTGGTTTGATCCAAAGGTGTCAAAATATAAGTTGAAGGATGTTTTGGTCCGCGCGAAGCGCTGACCCAGAGTCGCATTGCTGTTCTTCTTCTTGTTCTTGTTACCAAAACTTTAAAAACTTTAAAAGCGTCAAGCGTTGCAAGTTTTGAACGGAAGTGCATGAAAATGTGTACACATAAAACCGGGGGTGATTTCCAACTAAGCTTCATCTTCCCTTTTTTAAGTTTGTTCAGAATCCGGGTCGTTTCAGCTCTGGTCAATTCGGTTGGGTCGTTTCGGCCCTTTTTTGGTATGAATTGTATATATGTTGTCTTTTTTTACGATGCTTCACTATACATAGTATAGTATCAGTATGATTATTGTTTAAGTTTAAGATTGTTATTGTTCAGGAAATTTTAATTAGTTTGAATATAATTTTACAATATGTGTTATTCAAAAACAATGTTCTTTTTTCTTGCAGTTCCCATTAGTGAAATGTCAACAAGATAGTACAAATTATATTATCAATTTCTAAATGATTATTAATAAATTTTCATGTGGTACGTTAATTGTTAAATTAAATATATCTGAATTTCACATGTTTGTTTTCGCGGCTAGTAATTTTAATTTGTCAACAAAAAAAAAAGAGAAACTCTGAAAAAAAAACCATCTTTTTAGAACTATCTACGTTGTAACGCCAGCAGTACTTCAACTTGCAAACCTTTAAACAATAGTTCATCATTATCATCATTATGTTGTTTACAAAGACAACAGCACAGCATCTTAATCCAAATCGCAAGTATGGATCCATCGGGGCCGGATCCAGAGATGTCAAAAAGGATGGGGGGAGATCGAGAGACAACACAACGCCTCTGTTGGCCAGGAGCGGAATTACGGGGGCGGCCATCCCCGTTCTCCTTTTGGAAAGTAAAAAAAAAATGGAAAAAAATATATCGCCCAAAACGCTCAAGTAATTTTACTTAACTGTATGGGGAAAAAATAATACGCCTCGCGCGCAGTCCCACGGGGTTTAGGAACCAGTGGAGGCACACAGTGGGATCCAGGGTTCAGTGTTTGGTGTTTTCGTGTCTAATTCAAAGGACTAAAGACAGAGAAAATATTCACCATTACAGAAAGTGAAAAACAGGATATAAACTCGGGCAATTTGACGCAAGGAAATTAAATTAAATCTACGTTTATTATTATTGTTATTGTTGTTGAAAGATAAAAATTCAAGTCCTTTGCATCCTAACGAACGAAAATAATGAATTTATTATTTGGACCAAAAAGGTTAAAAGTTGCAGATTTCGCTTTAATTTTAGGTTTCTGGAAGAACGATAGCTTGGGTGGCTGGTGGCTCTTATTGTATTGTTCCTGTAATCCAAGAATTGTGGCTTGGGTGGATGGTGTCTCTTATTGTATTGTTATCACATGGCTTGGGTGGATGGTGTCTTTTATTGTATTGTTATCACGTGGCTTGGGCGGATAATTTCACTGTTCCCTAGGTGAATGGTGTCTCTTATTGCGTTGTTATCAGGTGGCTTGGGTGGATGGTGTCTTTTATTGTATTGTTCCTATCTTATTGTAATCCAAGAATGGTGGCTTGGGTGAATAAGCAATTAGTAGATCTCCGCATAGTATACCGTACTATAGGAAAAGTATTATACGAAGGTTAGATTTAATGCTTGAAAAAAATTCTTAATGCATTAAATCTAACTTAAGTATAATAATTTTCCACTATTGTACGATGCATGCTCTACTAATTGTTTTATAAGTCAATCGCCGTCTTTTAATGTTAGTTTTTAAAACCAACTGTGTTGTACCAGTCATCAGTTGCTATAGTGATATGATCAGTATACTGTGTACGTATTTATATTTTGTGCGTATGCTGATTTGTGCTTCTCCTGCAGTAGGCAGCGTCGTACGCAAAGCCTTCCAGAGAGAATACAGTCACTGTCACTAACTTTTTGGTCGGTGCAGACAGGTAAAAAGGATTTCATACGATAGGCTATACGGCCTAGGCTAGTAGATTTCTCTATGAGTAGGAGGAGGCCTCGGTGGCTCTACATCTAATTTCGTTCCTTTGTGTATGTTTGTTGAGTATTCTTATTGTAACTCATTTTGTATATTCATACAATCTTACTGTTATGTCATACTGTACTGTTATGTGATTCATAATGATTCTGGACGTGGACGTTTTTTGATTTGGGGGTGTGGGGTACGCACCCAACGCCCCCCCCCCCCCCCCCACCCTGCCCCCCTGGATACGGGTCTGTTGAGTCTTTAAAATAGGTCTAGAATATTTATAATAAACGTTCAGTTTGTTTAGATTATTCATGGTTTCAAGGAATTTCTTAATTGTTCATACTGAATATTGAATTTAAAGTAATTTTCTTCGGGTTCTAATTAACCTTGTTTTACGAAAGTAACACACGAACCTAAAAATTCAAGCCAAGCGTCCACTAATTGAAAAATTAATGGATGGTGGGGAATAATATTGGGAGTTAAAGTGATGACGTCACGATTGACTTATAATGTCTCTTTTTGTGTTGTTCCTATTTTAGTCCAATGGGTTGTTAGCTTGGTGACCGTAGTTGTACCAAGAGAACCATGCCATGAATTGCTTTTTCTGGTTGCTCTATTGTTCCCGTAGCAGTTCCTGTTATAGATAATAATGTAGATGATATCAATATGGTGTACCACAAACATTAGTATATTATTATTATTATCATCATTATTATTATTATTTATATTATTATTTATTATTATTATTAATTTCTATTAAAATATTAATAACAAACATCACCTTTTATGTGCATTTTTACATTTATAACAATATTTATTATAGAAAAAATAGCATCAACGTTGTTATAATAACATTTATTATAGAAAAAATAGCATCGACACCAATATTTATTTTATAGTGGTCTTAAATTTGAGGAAACTTATCGGGTGGGTCCACCAAACCCATAGTCTTTAACTAAGAGAGATTTTAATTGTAGTGGTCTTTAATGGGAGGGATCTTTAATTGGAGTGAGACCTGTAATCAGTCAGTGACTGACTTCTGTAACATAACCTGATTGGTTATGGTACCACTCTTCATTAATTCTATTGGGCATTAATCATTAATTCTGATGGGCATTATTCGTTAATTCTGATTTGACACTCCTTGCTTAAAATCTGTTCGATACATAGCCTAACAGAAGTAACAGACCAAACTCCAGACTGGGTTCGATTCCAAAAACTTTGTCTTAATCAGTGAAAATGCTTAATCGATAAATCGATTTTGGCGCAAATGGCGTTCCATACTATTTATTTGCATGGCGTTCCATAATATACTTTTCTGGGATAAAAGTTTCTCATATAGTAGCCTGGGTTCCAGGCCCTAATTTTAGGTTACTCACTCTTTATTGCACTTAGTGCGCGCCATACCTAATTTAATTGGCGTCCCATACTCGATTTCTTTTTTTTTCGAATTAGGGCCTGGGCAAACGAAGATTTAAATTAAATGTGAGAAAATATTAGCTACAGTATGTCGGAACAAAAAGTCAATTTGCATGAGGCACTGAATCATGGAATTAAAGTTGAACCAGGTTAGTTCTATTTTCAGCATAACCAATGGACAAGATGAAAATGTTTTTTATGCTCAGATTTCTTTTAGTGACATTTTTAATATGCGCCGTATGTGTATATAGCAATTATGAAGTCAATGTTGATGTGTGGCACCTGTCTCTTATACACATCTAGATGTGTATAAGAGACAGGAGGCGTGCATGCCGTCAAGGAACGGAGTTCCTGTCCACCTGTTTAATTTAAATGTTTTAGGGGCGGATTTTTTTCTTGTTACTGTAGCTTACCAGTATTAAATTTATTCTCCCATTAAAGACCACTTTTGGGACCGTGGTTTCGATGGTCTTCAACAACTTTGGTTTCTTAATGAGAATCCCTCTATTCATAGAGAAATTTCTCTATGCTCTATTTAAAGAACGGCACTTTATTGTGGTAATATGTACTTTCTTCCTGTATGTATAATATTGTTTTGAGATTACATTTGTACTTTTATTATAACAATAAAATTATACTTACATAAAGAAATACGCCTGCTTTTTCCGCCACAATGGACGTCATCTTTGAATTTGTCGTGATGATGTCATCATTTCTATCCAATACATAACTATTTAGCCATGTTGTGTTATATTTAATATGTAAAATTGACTAAAACATTTGTTTCCCCAATTATAATCTTAATTGGTCCAACTTAGGGTAATTTGGGCCATCATTATTATGCATTATAATTATTATTTATTTCTTCCATAGACTAATTATATAAATACATATCAAACCATACCGAATACAAACATTCAAATTGAATGCGAAGAGTAAATGCATTGAAACAAAGAGAATGTACGGATTGCTGTGGATGAGGAGGCGTGCATGCCGTCAAGGAACGGAGTTCCTGTCCACCTGTTTAATTTAAATGTTTTAGGGGCGGATTTTTTTCTTGTTACTGTAGCTTACCAGTATTAAATTTATTCTCCCATTAAAGACCACTTTTGGGACCGTGGTTTCGATGGTCTTCAACAACTTTGGTTTCTTAATGAGAATCCCTCTATTCATAGAGAAATTTCTCTATGCTCTATTTAAAGAACGGCACTTTATTGTGGTAATATGTACTTTCTTCCTGTATGTATAATATTGTTTTGAGATTACATTTGTACTTTTATTATAACAATAAAATTATATTTACATAAAGAAATAGGCCTGCTTTTTCCGCCACAATCGACGTCAGCTTTGAATTTGTCGTGATGACCACATCATTTCGATCCAATACATAACTATTTAGCCATGTTGTGTTACATTTAATATGTAAACGTGACTAAGACATTTATTCCCCAATTATAATCTTAATTGGTCCAAAATAGGGTCTATTGGGCCAATAAAAAGAACTGCCCAAGGCCTGCGGATTGAGATTATATTTTTCAAAGACACAGGGTACAGTATGCTGATTCAGCATAAACGATAAATTTTTCCCACTGAACTTTATTTCAGCAATTTTACAAGCAGGCTATTTATGGTTAAAAAACACAGCACATATTTCCCGATTAGCAACTCGGGTGTTACATCGTAACAAAAACGATTCCAGGTGAAAAGAATTTAATATATTATTTTCTTGCTTTCAGGACTCATCTCACGGATTCAATTAAATGTGTGAAAATATTAGCTACAGTATGTCAGAACAAAAAGTCAATTTGCATGAGGCACTGAATCATGGAATTAAAGTTGAACCAGGTTAGTTCTATTTTCAGCATAAACAATGGACAAGATGAAAATTTTTTATGCTCAGAATTCTTTTAGGGACATTTTTAATATGCGCTGTATGTGTATATAGCAATTATGAAGTCAATGTTGATGTGTGGCACTGTGTGGAAATCAGTTGCTTCTAATTATCATCAGATTTGAATTCCTAACAAAGCTCCAGTGGCCAAATTTTTTGGCATCATCTGATTAGATAACAGAAGGTCCCAATTGGTGGATCTTAGGGGTCAGGTGTCATGACCCCTTGGGAAAAAATATATTTTAAAAAATTATACCTACCTTTTGAGGACCCCGTAAACTGCTTTTTTTTTTTTACAATAAGAAAATTAAAAGTTAAGGAATTTCCTGCCATCTAGAAATCTAAATTTTCTTAGGGAAGACCCTGGACCCTACTTTCCTTTCGGGTTTTTGGGGGGAAGATTTGGGCCCCTAAATTTGAACCCAGATTTTTTTTCGCATTAAAAAATTTGCATGAAACTCTACTCGGGCCGTCTCGACTGACTCGGCTTGAAAATCTCATATGGAGGTCAAAAGTCATCATCCAAAGCTAAATGTCTACACAACTTCTGAGACTCATACTAATTGATGTTTACCATTCTAATAACTAATGGTCCGTTTAAAATGACAAATGTAATATTTGATTGAGCTGCACGAGTAATAAAAAGTGTTATTTGAACTTGAGTTACATACTGAGCATTTTTATTTTTAAGTTAGGCCTAGGTTTTGAATATATAAGTCAGGGGCAGATCCAGAGATTTCTGACAGGGAGTAGGGGGCTCAATATGAAGTCACGCCGCACGCCTACCTCAGCCCCACCATGGTAGGTGAAATTGAGTGGTAAATAATCGAGCTCTCCTTTTACCCACTGCTGGATCGCCACTGAACTCATGGGTGCACTCCCTTTTTTGCTTTTTCCTCTTCTTAAATCAAATTTGTCACCCTCTTTTTATTTTTCGGCTTGACCGACGGGACCGGGATGAGGAAGGTGCCCTCTTGTTCCTAATAATAAACTTAATATCGTATCGGATTCGAGTCGAGTCAATCTGAGACGGCCCAAGTGGAGTTTCATGCAAAAAGTCGCACTCGGGTTTAAGTCCTTGTATTGCCAGTATCGTGCTTGATAATTCTCAATCACATAAAAATAAAAGTAACTCCAAATAAGGAGACAGAGGCAATGATTTGATGTTTCGACCTACTTTAATATTAATGTTATGTAGGCCCCTAGAATGAGACTAAAACTATTCACTTGAGCGCTGACTGGAGAAGATTTTTAGATATAGTAAAGTTGCAGTGTACAGAACATTTTTTTGGTGTAAAACCTTAATTACGTATTCATAGCATATTTTCCTACTACATAACGTTTTGTTAACTGTTGATTGGTCTATTCATACATTTCATTGTTCCATGTTTATTCATTTTATTTTCTTTAAATATGATTCTGTAATAATAATGATAATAATAATTCCAAAGCAACATTGTTTTTTATCTTCTAGGCCAATGCTGTGTTTTTGATAACCATGAAGAAAGTTTTTTAAATTGTTTGCCAACAATTCCATCAATGTTAAAACCTGCGAGGTCACAAAAAGAAATTGAAAAAAATGATAAATTTATAAAATATGAAGATAACTGCAGAAATACATTCAGTGTAGAAGAACATCAATTTGACAGTTTAAAGGAACACTTAAAAATAGACAATGAACATTCACATTATAAATGTGAACATTTTAGAGAAACCCATTTAAGAATAAAAATAGAGGAAGCGCAGTCTCAATGTCAATATTGTGCAAAGGAATTTGATGGCAGATGTAAATTAGAAAAACATTTGAGAATACAAACAGGGAAGATGTCCAATGAATGTTGGAATTTGAACACACACTCATGGAAACTTACAGAAAGGACAGCATATGAATGTGAACATTGTGGAATGAAGATCAATCAAGGCAAGAGTTTGAAGATACAATTAACAAAACATAAAGGACTAGTAGCATATGAATGTGAACAATGTGGACAAACATTTACGCACCAGAACAGTTTTAAAACACACTTAAGGACACATACTGGAGAGAAACCATATGAATGTGAATATTGTGGTAAAAGATTTGGACAAACTGGCAAATTTAATGCTCATTTAAGGATACACACAAGAGAAAGACCATTTGGATGTGAAAAGAGATTTAATCAAAATAGCAATTTGAAATCACATTTAAGGATACATACAGGAAAAAGACCGTATGAATGCGGACATTGTGGAGAGAAGTGTATTACCAGTAGCACTTTGAAAACACATATAAGGATACACACAGGAGAAAAGCCATATGAATGTGAACATTGTGGAAAGAAATTTAGAATTAAAAGCAGTTTTAGACAACATTTAAAGATACACACAGGTGAAAAACCTCATGCATGTGAACATTGTGGAAAGAAATTTTTTCAAAGGGGCGTTTTGAAAGATCACATAAGGATACACACAGGGGAGAGACCATTTGAATGTGAACATTGTGGGAAGAATTTTGCAAACAGGAACACTTTGAAAATACACTTAAGGATACATACTGGAGAGAAGCCATATGAATGTGAATATTGTCGAAAACGATTTAAACACACTGGCAGCTTAAATGCGCATTTAACGATACACACAGGAGAAAGACCATTTGAATGTGACAAATGTGGAAAGAAATTTTCGCACAAGAACACTTTGAGAACACACTTAATGACACATACTGGAGAGAAGCCATTTGAATGTGAATATTGTGGAAAGAGATTTATTCAACATAACGCTTGGAAATTGCATTTATGGACACATACAAACGAGAAACCATATATATGTGAACATTGTGGAAAGAAGTGTATTACAAGTTTCAATTTGAAAGAACATTTAAGGATACACACAGGAGAAAGACCATTTGAATGTGATCAATGTGGAAGGAAATTTAGGATTAAAGAAACTTTAAGACAACATTTAAAGATACATACAGGTGAGAAACCACATTCATGTGAACATTGTGGAAAGAAGTTTATTCAAAGTCGCGATTTGAGAAGGCATTTAAGGATTCACACAGGAGAGACACCATATGAATGTGAACATTGTGGAAAGAAATTTGCAGACAGTAGTTGTATGAAACAACATGTAACCAGACATACAGATGTTTCTAGTGAATGTAAACAGTGTGGAAAGACATTCTTATTTAAACAGTCTTATTTAAGACACATGAAGATACATGCAGGTGATGTGCCATTTGAATGTGAACATTGTGGAAAGAAGTTTCTTGACAATAGTCATTTGAAAGTACATTTAAGAGTCCACACAGGTGAGACTCCGTATGAATGTAAACCATGTGGACAGAGATTTAAATACAATCACGGCTTGAAAAGACATTTGAATTGTGGCTCACATAAAAACTAGCAATTTCCTGTATCTGAAAATGGGTTGTACCCCCTTCTTGAAAGAAAGACACAGAGGTATACCATAGAAAACATGCTGATTAATTTTGTTGTATGAGAAACCAATGTTGGAAGAGACTTCATATTGAAAAGAGTAGAAAGGAATAATAATATTCAAAGTAAAATTACCTTGTCATATATAAAATACATGTACGAGCTGAGAATGATTATTATTGTTGGAAGTGACTTTGGTTGTCTACCCCACAAAATATGCTGAATAATAATGTTAAGAGAAACCTATATTGAAAAAAAGATAGGAAGTAATAATAAACAATGTAGAATGCCCTGTAGTCAAATACTACATATCTGACATGTACCAGCTCAGCGTGGAAATTGTTGGAAGTGACACCAAAGTTAATTTAAGGTACATTTGTAAATTGGATGATTTATTGAATACTACTTGTACTGTATATTATGATTTAATGATCTTCTAATAATTCTTCTGGTTTTGAGATGTGCTTAAACTATATTTTGGTATTATTAATTTGGTTTGTATTTCCATACCATATTTTTGAAATCTGTTCTTTTTAGTAAAATTCACACCTGTGTACACGTGTTTTATTTTTTTATTATTAATCATTTGGTTCATTAAAATGGGATTTTTAATGTGTAAGTAAATGAAAGATAAAGGTAAAATTTAATACACAAGATATTCCTTTATGAATAATAATGGTACAGTTATTTCTCCCATGTGAAATGTATTACAGTGCACAACTGTAAATTTTGAGAAAGTTACATGTTCAGGAATGTTAAGTGTTTTACATGTTTTCAATATTTGTTATTTTTTTTAATTTGGTTCCTTCATATATATTTCACTGTTATTTTGTTATAATCCACACTAATTAAATACATTGTTGAAATAAATAGGTATTTTGGAAATGGAAATGTGTTAATTTTTCTCAATATGCTACTTAAGTTGTGTTTAAATCGGCCGACGCTACTAGACGGAGAGCGTATCGTAGGTGTGCGTGAGGTGTCCTCGTTTATTCGAGGAGCCAAGCGATTATATATTACTCCAATTAAAACAACTGGGTCTTCAACGCAAGAAGCAGAAACAATACCTCTCAGCCAACCGCTCAGCTGTTATTGTTGTATTTGTCGTCATTTCCACCATGCTCAATAATTAAATAACATTTCCTAATTGATCCTGCAGCTAATACATAAAAATACATTAAAACGTTACAAAATACGATCATTAAAATTAAATAGAAAGAATAAATGCTGCATTGAACCAAGGAAGGAGAATATACGGATTACTGATGGATGAGAGTCGTGCGAACATATGAAGGAACGGAGTTCTTGACACATGTCCAATAATTGTTTCTGGAATTGTAACTGGTATTATTTCTCCACTGACAAACCATTGATCCCAATTTCTAACGTAGGCCTAATTATTATATTAAAATGTTATTGTATCTTACTTTTTCTTTGTAAATGTTAATTGATTAAATGTGTGTTCGATAACTATATAATGCGAGCTTAAGCCTTTTGTGTTTTTAGTACATTTTGATGGTAAAATATTAGATTTTAAAAAATGCCTATTCCAGAAAGCCTATGAAGTCATTCCGGTGTAGAACGAATTTTAGTTCCCGGCGAATTTTAGTATTTCGTGGTCTGAATTATCAGAGCCTATGGGACACAAATTTGCAACACTTTCTTCCGGGGTAAACAATTATTCAATATGTCTGTGTATTCATTAAAAAAAATAATGTAACGGAAGTTTATACAATCGACCATGTACCCTATGTTCAACTTAACCTCACAGCTTAATTATCTAGCATAAACAATCTGTAAAAAATATGTAAAAGGTAATTTACGTTGAAAAAAAAAATCACAAATCACTTTACAGCGAGCATGATGGGAAGGTTAGGTGAAACTTAATTTCCTTTACAGCGACAGTAATTAGGCTAACAATAATAAGGCGGGAATAGGTCGGGCGAACAATAATAAGGTGGGAATAGATTGGTGCTCATATTACGTCCGCATAAGCAGTATAAGAAAACTATATTGACATTTACTGGCAGTTCGTTGGTAGAGTTATTCGAAGCTTTGGGTTATTGGTAGACTTGCCACAAGTCTCTAATTTTATGGATTTTTCGTAGTATTAGCGCATTTCGGAATGCGCCACCAGCGTCAGTTTATGTTGAGAAACTTTTTTGATGAGAATTAATCCCAGAATCCTAATCCCAGAAAAAGTATACTATGGAACGCCATGCAAATAAGTAATATGGAACGCCATTTGTGCCAAAATCGATTTATTCTTAAGCATTTCAACTGATTAAGACAAAGATTAGGGACTGGAACCCAGTCTAGGTTAATGGGAGACCTTGTCTCTAGCTGCGCTCGACTGTTAGTTCGCCTACATGTTTTGTAAAGCTATTCATTGGTTGTACCTTGACTTGCATGTAGTATATGTTAACATACAGCTTCCTTGTTTTGGTTTTAGCTGAGTAGCCTGTACGGCCGTTGTCACGACTATTTCTTTTCACTTTTTTTGGACCATTATTTATATACTTCTGTTGAACGAGGGTGTAGCAACTTGTTCTTTTTTGTGAAAAAAACAAAAAGTAACATTCTTTCAAGACGTCTAAACAACTTGTCGTACCATTGCTAAAATTTATAAAAATAAGGGCATTTATAAATTTAGGGCATTTTAAAACTGGTGCTGTATGTTAATTCTATTCTTTAGTTGATTACAGTATTTTAATGTACGGGGTACTGTATTCCACACATTTGCATACCGGTACTACTGAAGTCTGGGTTATATTAATGTTAAGTGAATCTGCATGTCGATCATATTTTTAATTATTTCCTCTCAATGTGTTTGTGTTCTCATTAATTATTTGTTTTCTCAATGCAACAACATAAATTAAATAAAAATAAATAAAACAATTCTCGCTTATAGAAACAAACAACAGTGATCAATAATTGGTAGATTTACAATAAAGAGATTTATTATTGTTAACAATATGCGAGGGGTAATTTTTCAACGTGCAGAGCTCATAGTCCTGGTGGTGGAACAAGATCTTCTCGGATAAGAACTATCATCGTAGGTTCAGTACACAAATGTTCATGAGCACTTTAAAAAACCCAGTAATCTTTTGACACGAGTAGGGCGTTTTTAGGAATTTTTAGTTTAGCAAATAGTTTTGCCAAATACATCCAGATGCAGGAGAAAATATAATTGTACTGGTAAATGTAAACAGTGTAGTAATGGGATGGTCAAATGCTTTAAATTTTTATAATTAGGAAGAAATAATTATACATATCTTATTTTTGGTGTTTGCAAGGCAGTGTCGGGTATAATAGAAATAAAGAAAAACTTTTTTTTCTGAAATTTCCATTTTTCCTGTTTACGAGAGCGCTAATTTGCCAAAAATAAAATGTTATTTTTATTCAAAATCACAATTATTGGCAGGCAACTGGTCCGCTAAACAAACGTATAAAAAGACAACAGCATTAATCATATATAATTAATGCTTGCGGTACACCACGTTGATAGTTCTGGAAAGAACTGTTGTTGTTGGTTGGGAATATCTCGACGTTTCGGTTGACTTGCTTCAACCGTCTTCAGGAGAATAATATCTGCAGAGATCTCAAACAGGGAAATACATATATGTTTGAGTGATGAGACTTGCTGCTGATTGGTTGAAAACTAAACAAAGGCTGAGCCTACCAATGAAAAGCTAGACAAAAGCTAAAAATTCACGGTCTGAATAGAAGGGCGGGGCGTGGCTAGAAAGCCAAGACAGTGGCATTGTTCTAGATGGGGGAAGGAAAGCCAAAAAACAATGGCATAGTTTCCAGTGTAGAGGGAAAGATTTGGCGGGAAAATTTTGGTTTAGGTCCGGTTAAACATGAACAACCAAATATCGCTGATGACAAATCCAATATCTTGATGTACTGTATCGTGTTTGTGAATTTCAATAGCTTCTCTGGTCCGTCTGGAATGCCAAGATGATACAGTGGCTATCAGTTCAGATTTATCCCAACATACACGATGTTGTTGTGTGTGGGAGTGCATGGCTATAGATGACTTCTGTTGTTCCCCTCTCCTGGCATGGCCTTGGTCTTCCTTGAGCCTGGTATGGAGATCACGACCTGTTTCACCAATGTAAACCTTTCCGCATTCGCATGGTATCCGATAAACTCCTGGCATTAAACTTGTTTGTAGGACTGTTTTCTTTTGTCATGATTCAGTTTGTTTAGATTATTCATGGTTTCAAGGAATTGCTTATTGTTCATACTGAATATTGAATTTAAAGTAACTTTCTTCGGGTTCTAATTAACCTTGTTTTACGAAAGTAACACACGAACCTAAAAAAATCAACCCAAGCGTCCACTAATTGAAAAATTAATGGACGGTGGGGAATAACATTGGGAGTTAAAGTGTAACGTCACGATTGACTTATAATGTCTCTTATTGTGTTGTTCCTATTTTAGTCCAATGGGTGGTTAGCTTGGTGACCGTAGTTGTACTAAGAGAAGGTTGAACCATGCCATGAATTGCTTTCTCTGGTTACTCTATTGTTCCCGTAGCAGTTCCGGTTATAGATAATAATGTAGATGATATCAATATGGTGTACCGCAAACATTAGTATATTATTATTATTATAATTATTATTATAATTATTATTATATTATTATTGTTATTATTTAGTCCAATGGGTGGTTAGCTTGGTGACCGTAGTTGTACTAAGAGAAGGTTGAACCATGCCATGAATTGCTTTTTCTGGTTACTCTATTGTTCCCGTAGCAGTTCCGGTTATAGATAATAATGTAGATGATATCAATATGGTGTACCGCAAACATTAGTATATTATTATCATTATTATTATAATTATTATTATATTATTATTGTTATTATATATTATTATTAATTTCTATTAAAATATGAATAACAAACATCACCTATTATATGCATTTTTACATTTATAACAATATTTATTATAGAAAAAATAG